TGTGTGTCTGTGTGTGTGTGTGAGTGTGTGTCTTCAAAGAAAAGTAGGCTTTAGGACACTAGTGACGAGGGTGAGGGGGCGACACTTTGTTTGAGCAGCTTGATTAAAGAGCACAAAAATGATATTATTAACTGTTACGTCGGTGGTGCTTCTGCTTCTTAGGATTAGACCTACATGTATTTATTTATTCCAATCTGTGTATATACTTGCCTACAACGTTATTTATCAATTACTGGAAACCTGATAATAATCGTAATAACAGTTCGTCCGTCAATGTCTGACGATGACCAGTGCATCCACATAGAAGTCTAATTCTTTAGAGAAGTAGAACAATTAAGATGGCAGGAGACTTCTGTTATAGCCATTAATAGCAGTTCTGGCAGCGTGAAGTTTGCCACATTTTGAGCATTTAAAACGCTTCTCTTCCGCTTGTGGATCTGCGCTGATTGTGGGTTGCTCTCTTGGTTTCGGCATTTTCTTATTTGTCAAGCCTCATACGACTTACAGCTAATTTTGACCGCGGCTCTCTTACTAGGTCTGTCAGGACCGAGGCACTCTCATGACGAAGGATTTATGTTGAGGTCCTTCATAAACATTTTCAGGGTGTCTTTGCAGCGCTTTTTTGGTGCGCCAACTTTAAGCTTCACCGAGGACAGTCCAGGATAGAATACTGCCTTTGGGACTCTAAAATAAGGCATTCTTACGATCTGGCTAGCCCAGCGAAGTTGAGTTGTTTTGAGTCTAGAAAACACAATCTTGATATAATTAATATGCCCTTTTGAGAACTTCGGTGACTGGTATTTTTTCCTGCCGTTTTAAGCCAAGAATTCTTCTGAGGCATATAATGCAGAAACGATTAAGCTTCTCGGCACGGCTTAGGTAAACTGTCCAGGTCTCGGCTCTACACAACAGAGTTGAAAGGACCACAGCATTGTACACTTTCAGCTTTGTCTCTGGGCGAATACCACAGCAGTCCCAAGCCCTTGCTCTGATCCTTCCAAAGGATGCATCAACTTCATTCCTACACAAGGCTATTTCTGCATCGCTGTGGGCATTTGAAGACAGGGTACCGCCAAGATAATTGAAATTATCAACATTGTTCAGTGCCGAAAATCTATAGATGAGAGTATTCACAACAGTACATTATGGTCAAGTCAGGAAGCGAAAGAGATTGACAGAGAAATATTTCATTTTTCAATATTATGTCGATTTGCCCCTAAACCAGTGAAAGTCAAATCTCGACGAAAAACAAGCGATAGATACAGGCACGCATTCTTGCCAAAATCATATGCTAAGAGTTATCTAAAGCGTTCATTGGCGTCTGTGATGTAAGCCCACTAACGCACGACGACAAAACAGTTGGCCCACTCTTTTTGACGGTGAATTTTGGACGATGACAATAAAAGAAGCACAACAAAATTGTTATGTCGTGGAGGTGCCGTCCGTAGGTTTCCCTATTTTCATTGTCCCCAACTCTCCAACAAAACCGTTGGCCAGCAGTGAATGCCCTTAGTAACATGTCACATGCAAAGAAACAAAAAGTAGTAGCTTCAATCAAACTGTCAAATGGAGTTCTTCATTCACAAAGTGCAATTTGTCCTGTTTCTGTGTGGGTTTGGGATAAAACTATACGGTCAGAGGGAGGGGACAGACGTGAAAGCATAATGTTCGAAAGAAAACAATCTGGATGTAAGATAACCGTTACTGTGAATGTTTTCTCTGTTACTCTAAAACAGTACCACTTACGAACTACCCAAGTATTTCCCGAGAGAGAGAGTGTTTACCGAGGGCAGTGAGACGATTGGAGTATGTCATTGATACCGCTTGTAACACTCTCAGGACTCAGCAATGATCCCTCAGCGAAATATCCCTTCGCCGTGTTATGCCTGCTATGCTTAATTCAGCCACTTGCGGGTGTCAATTGCCCGTCTAAAGTTAAGCCATGTTGGCAACGATCGTTCCACTGTGTGCTTTCTGTCTTAGAATGTATGTAAACGTCTGTTAAGTCGGGTTCACGCCCGGCCTAAACTTGGGTTCCCTAACTGAAGCCACGATATTGTTACCGTCACTGACTTAACCAGAGCTGGAAATGACGACGATATAGTACTTTATCAACTTTACTGTACGAAAATAGAATCTTGAGTACCTGTGTCTGTAGTGCGGAGGTCGAGCTCTTTGTGATTGGTCGTAGAAGGCGATTCCCTTGGCGAGAGAGTGTCTTTTAACGAGTATCTGCGCCTTTCTGTTTGGATGTTGAATCTCTCGCAACTGAGGTGGCCTTGTCAGACAGGCTCATAACAGTCCTCCTTCCAAATGATAACATTACCTAGACAGGATTGAGGAACACTTTAATTTGTTTTAAAATTACCAGTCAGTTCTGGGCGGGGTTTTATCAAGGGTGTAGCAGTTAGCGTACCTGACCTGATCGCCACAAGAAAGAGGTGCAAATGAAGGGCATGATCCGATCCCTTATTTCAACAGCAAAGCCCTTTCTTTCAAAACAAAATCAAAGGCGCCCTTTCAAATGACAGAAGTGCCGTATCCACCAGACCCCTCCCCTCTCAATATTATAGTACTGAAAGGGAAATACAACTTTGTGCATCTGTGTGCGTATATATTTATATGTGACAATTCACCACTAGAAGGGGTTAAACTGTACCCTCATGTGCTACGGGTGAAGTGTTACTGCCCTAAAAACTGAGCGAGTGTATGTGTGTGTGTGTGGAAGGGGGGAGGCATAAGTATGTCAGCGTGTTTGTGTGTTGGTGGTTGAGGATGTGTGTGTGTGGGGGGG